GTCAATGGACTAAACAATATTATTCCAGGTATGCACGAAAGTAAATATTCCAAATAAATTGCCAAGTTCAATAACTACCTGGCTATCTACTGGAAAATATTCCAAATTCATCTGCAAAATATAACCAAAAGTAATCTCAACAAAAAACAATTTGATACTGACAACTTGCTGATAACAACTAGATAGAAAGGTACAACAAAATCTTGACCTCTCTCAATGCACCTATGCGTGGTAAGACACTTGTGTCACTCTTGATGTGGTTTACAAGTTCCTTTGGGATCGGCGAACTGAAAAATACATAGGCTCTGAAACATTCATAGGAAGAAGGGAAACATACCCCCCGCCCCATATAAAAAAAATAAATAAATAAAAGGGAAAAAGAAACGGTGTTAAGTTTTGTCCTGAGAGTTAAGGTTAAAAAAGTTGAAACAATATTAAATTTCATACTTCTTGTAGAGGGGCTCCCTTCCAGACATATCAGACAGGAACATGACCACACTGCATGCTAGCAAAAGTTATGTTTAATATGGATAAACTATGCTAGTGATAACAAAAGGAACAACAGAGAAAAGAAGACAGTTGATCGGGTTAAAACGGGAATAAATTATAAATAAAAAGGATTAGAGAAATAATTTAACCCTAACTTAGAATTGAAGACAAATAAAATACAAATCCTTTTAGTCTTATACTGCCGATAGATTTAAAATGGGAAAGGGATATGGATGAATGATATAGATAACAAAATATGTATTTTTCTTAATTTAAAGTGTAACATTTGTTTATTTATTTTGGACACATAAGAAAAGTTTGGATAAAAATCCTTGCAATCTGAGAATCCTTCTGTGACGACGGTTCGCAAAACTTTGTTAAGGCTCCTACAAGCTAAGAGGAATCAACTATTAGTTAGGTCTCTTAGTTATTTCTTTTAAATTTTCTTTAACATACTCTCTTTCTCTCTTTCCCCACCCATTATTACACAGACCTCTCTCTGCCATTGAATTAAAGGAAAACCTATCAACTACCCTCAATTGATAATATCACGTTGGTTCCCAACATAATTCTTACAAAACAATTTCCCAGTAGCAAATAATTTAAAATAAACAATTTTCTTTTGATCCAGATTGAAGCCTGTTCTTCTGTGACAAAATAACATGTTATATCAAATAGTTAATCTATGTGACCATATATCTGATATATTGAAATTGAAATTGAAATTGTCAACGAGAAATAAGTAAACAAGCAGGGTAACTTTACACATTTGCAAGCGTGGGAGTTGCAAAGTGAATGCTAGCAAAATGTTTGTCCTCTCTGTTTTAAGAAAAATACACTATTTATTGTTGATCAAAATTTATTGAAAATATATTATTCTATAGGTCTCATCTCATATTTTCATATTGAATGAGCGTTATTCAATATGTATAATTTTATAATTTCTAATATATTTTAACCAATAATAAAGAATGTGTTAGGGAGTATGTTATTGTCAATCTTCATTATTTAAATAATAATAAGAAAGAAGTTAAAAAAAATGTTATAATTTATGAAAATCCAATCAATATTGTGTTATAAAAATGGAAAATTTTAATTATATATGTTGCTGACATAAAAATGGAAAATTTTAATTAAGAAAAAATTATTTAATTATTTAATTTTTACATAAAACAATTATTTAATTTTTACATGATTTTTTTTATATATGTTGCTGACATAAAAATGGAAAATTTTAATTAAGAAACGAAGTTACTTCTCTTTAGAAGGCTGGATGAAATAAACAGCATCCAATGATGGTAATGGTTGCCTTCTCCGGAATAGGTCTTCCACCACTGCAATGAGATGTTAACAAATTATACTATATCAATATTTTAACACAGCAATAGATCTAGAACAGATGTTGTGGTAAAGGTGGTTCAGTAATTAAATATAACGGAAAAACTCAAGATGCAATGAACAAAGAAAGCATCTAATTTAAGGTACAACATTCAGATTGAAACGAACTTGACAATGTACATTGACAATATGGCTTAATGAAAGAGAAAAATTGTGGCAAATGATTGTGTTTTGGACAAATTCCTTATATTAAATAACCTCTATTAAATATGAAATGCAAAATTAAAAAAAAAAAATTGTTATAACTAATTTAGAGAAGTCGATAGCAAGGATATAAAAAACTTGATGTATGTTTTGTTCTCAAGTCCTCCTAACTTTTCTCCAGTTACTCAAAATACTTCACATGCTAAGAAGTACTCCTAGTCTTATTGTCTGATTTTTTAAAGAAAAAAAAAAATTTGAAAGAAAGGAGAGGCATTTGACACAATTGGAGTATATCTTTACTTTGATCAATCTATATCTTTATCTTATATATAAGCAATAGTATAGGATTTTTTTTTAACTCTTATAACTGACACCTGTCAGTTTAAGTTAGTTAATCAATTTTATCTTCAAATTTATATAAAAATGATTATAATGGAATTGAGTAGTAGGTTATCAATATATTTCTCATTCTTTAATAATATCTTATTCTAAGAAACCCTAATAGGCACCAAGAATCACTTCTCAAGTGTTAGACCATTATATGATAAGTGCTTTTAACGAAGTCAGTTGCGTCCACCAACATCATTCACTCCTTTACGTTTTATGCCCTCACCCTCAGTCATAGTAACAGTTATTGAAGAAGAAATGCAGAAAAGGAGAAAACTTGAAAAAGACCATATCCTTGATTATGTAGAGTTCTCACATGAAACTTCTTGGTCTGTAATGTCTGCCATTTTACAAGAATGTGACATAACTTTCACTGTGACTTTATCCATTATAAGCACCTGTGAGAGCAAGGAAAAACTTTGCCAACATCAATCAACTAAGGTGAGATGCGAAGATATAAAACTCGTACAAGTGTTTATAGATATTAAAGTATGAAGACACACCTTCCATGCTTTCGAATCGGGTGACCTTGCCGATCGAAGCATTTCATATAGCAACCCTATTAGGCACCCAACCACGAAAATGATTACCAAACAAATAATGAAAATGAAACCAATTCATTTTCATTTAGTTTCAATTCAAATGACATTCATTTAGTTTCAATTCAAATGATCGGCTCAGAAATTTAATTTCCAAAACAAATGAAATGCAGATGGAGAACTACGGAAATTTCAGCAAGGATGCTTAGATGCTGCGCTCTGTTCGACAGAGAGAAATTGAAACTTCAAAGCCGAACCTACATTTCTCGAGAAACAAACTGAAAACGAAGATAAAAAAATGTGGAGCTGAAAAAAACTAGTCATGAAAATGAAGCCAATACATGCACAATACTTAATTAATTTTTCGACTTCTATTTGATTCAAGTATTAAAAAAACTGAAAAAAATCACAGTTATGAAATTCATATTTCTTTCCACACAAATTTCTACGGATTCATTTTTCTAGATGATTGGACTCATCAAATTTAAGGAGAAAAATAAAACTAAAAAACTAACAAAAAGAAATACGAACATGACCGTTTAGTTTCAAATGACAACTCTGAAATTTAATTTCCAAATCCAAACCAAATGAAATGCAGATGCAGATGAAGAACTACGTAATTTTTTTTTTCAGCGAGGATTTTTTTGATGCTGAGCTCTGTTCGATAGAGAGCAATTGAAGCTTCAACGGCAAGCTTCTAATTCTAAACCAAACGGAAAACGAAAGAGAAAGCAAAAAGGAACAGAGAAATGCGAAGCTGAACGAGTAAGGTCTCACGATCGCGGCTAATTTGGCGGAAAGGCTTGTACTCCGATGCATTGCCAGAGGACGTTTCGGAATCGGAAAACGACATCGTTGCTCGCAGCAAGTGCTCGTGACCGGAGTTCTGAACAGGATTTGAGAATCGAGAACGTTAGAGAGAGAGGGATAGTGTGTGTGAGAGAGAGAAAGCCGTTGGAACCGTTGAATGAGCCTGGGAAAGTAGGACGTGTGACTTGGAACTTGAGTTTCGGTTACGGTTTGCGCTCTGATGTCAAACCACTCAAACCCAACTAGTTTGGGACTTGGGACTCAAAATTTTATTATTTTTAGTATCATAATTTAATTGTAAAATTAATGAATATTGAAAAAAATAAATTTTAAAATCAATACGTATAAATATAATATGTAAATTAAATATAAGTAGAAAAACAAAAATAACTTATAAGATCACTTAACTGTAAAAAATTATGAAATTATTTCAATGAATTACATAAAAATAAAACACACAACAATGATTAAAATGAATAAATAAAAAAAGTAAAGGGAAATTTTTTTAACTCAACACCAGCAAAGCATTTATCAAATGAAAAGAGAAAATAAAAAAAATAAAGATGAATGAAATAAAAACATTATACATACACCAACAGATTAAGGAAATTAAATTTAAGTCATTTGAAAAAACATAAACTTTTTGATAATATTTCCATATTATATAGTAATACTATGAAAAAGATATTTTGTGTCTATTGAAAAAATAAAATAAATTAATATTTTGAAAAAGGGTAATTATAATTTTTTAAGAGGATAATTTATTATATTTTTTTTCTTATTTTATTTTTAAATATAAATTAGTAGAAAAAAATCAACATAGTAATATAATTGTCTTTAAAAAAATGGATATCAAAAGAGAGTATTTTTTTTAGATATTGTTGTAAATATATGAAATAATTATAAATAATTTTATGTGATAATTTTTTTATTATTATAAATTCAAAATATAATTTTATTTAATAAAATTTAATTATATCATTAAATAATTATATTATCATGCCGAGCACATGTATATTAGTATAAAATATAAAAATAAAAAATCATTTTCTCTTCTCACATTCGGTAACGGCAACTTAATTCAGTTGGGTGCGTTGTCAATTGGTCGGTTTTCAGGTTTTTGTGACCTGGCCGGTTCATGTATTTTTATTTTATTTTTTAAAAACTGAAAACGACGTCGTTTCAAAAAAAATTGAACTCATAACAAAGTAGCACAAGTGAGGAGACTCATCTTAAATTCTTAATCACGCACTGTGCCTTTCGCGAGTGGTGAACCTAATCCGCCGCAGTTTGCGCGCGCCACCGCAGGGCCTCCGCACTCCGCCGCCGCTCGCACAACCGCAAGTCCTTCGCTCCGCACTTCGTTCGTCCACTCCGCTGTTCTAACTCTTTGCAGGTTAGTGATTTATTGTCACATTATTTGCGATGGCTTCACTTTTGTTCCTTCTGCCCTTGAAATTTGTTGTTATTGGATCCTGTGTTTTGGTTAGGGATATGGCTTTTGATTATTAATTGTTATTATTATGTCTTCATTTTTTTAATATGTATGTGTGATATTGATTATTTAACATTATGATGTATCTATAATCATTAGTATTGTAGTTTGTAGTCATCCTGAGTGCTGTATGGTACCACACTATAGCAGTTTTGTGGTTTCCGGTTTCTCGCATTGCAGCACAATTTGGAATTGATAACTTATAGTCCGTTTGGATAAAGTTAGAAGCCCTCTTCACAACCGAAAGCAAATAGCTTTAGCTTTTTCCTTGTAGAGGAACTTTTAAAAGCGCTTCTAAATTTGTATCCAAATAGATGTTTCTTCTAAACCTATTAAAATCATCAAAAAGAGAAGTGTTTGGCTTTAACCCATTGATCCTGTTGGCTGTTGGCGCAATGAGATTTTTCCTTTTGGCTTTAAGAATTTTTTTTGTCACATGCGCCTTTGGTCCTGCCCAGCATGGGCTATGGCTGAGTATTTAGTCGTTTTTTCTGTTCAACTGTTTTTAAAGTTTACAGATTTCTCTCATAAAAAGGATGTTAGAACTTAGAAGTCTGAAAGATATTAATGAAAAATCATGAAGCATGCAGATTTAGATTTTCAAAGCCCTATCCCAATGCGTCTTTTAGGTTTTATTAATTATTATGGATTGAATTCTTAGATAAGCCCAGCAACATGTTTCAGCTTTCCGCACCATCACCTGCCTTTTTAATCTTATCAGGATCCTAAAGTGAGTGGAAACAAAGTAAATAGTCTCAATCATTGATAAGAAAATCAGCCGTTGATATTTCAACTCATCCATGATTTGTTATGCTTGTGCATATAATAATAATAATATCAATTGATTTTCTCATCAATTGTTGGAATTATTTAATTTCTAAAGTGAGTTGCTCACTTTAGAGTAGTCAGATCCTTTAGTTTAACTAGTAAAAGGGGAAAAATGGCTGGGTTGGTGTGGTCAGGTTGCCTTTTGTTGAGTAAATTCTATTCTATCTAAATGAAAATACTTTAAATTACTGTTTTAAATGACTTAGAATGTCATTGGTTTATATATCAGCATCAAATGATTTGTGATACATTTTGATTTGAGCAGCTGGTGATACTAATTGGTGAGCAAATCATATTTGGTGTTTGAATTGCACCCTTAATTGAACCTAAATAGCAGGAATCGCGACCTGAAGAAGAATTACAGGATTTTTTATAGAACTCATGCATCTCATGCTCCTAGAGTTATGTTTTTAGTTATTGATCATGAATATGTGTTTTAATATGTCTTTGTTAATTGCACATGCCAGGTTTTATTATTGATCTTGAATCTTACAAATCACAATTTGATTCCCAATTCCACTACTGTGGTATATACAATTTGTTATAATAATTTTTCAAAAATGATATAGTCCAATTCCTTAATTTGATTTTATTATTTATCTGTGGCAGCTGTATAAATCATTCTAGTTATGGAAGATTCTAATCAGCCGGCCGAGTCTGCTGAAAACCAGCAAACTGAACAAGGTATGTCCGCTTATTTTATCTATAACTTGTTAATTTCTGCCTTTGCATTGTACTCAAATGTACAATCTTGTTTGCTTTTGTTCTCTGCATTAATTCTTGTTACTATGTTTTTTATTTTCAGTGTGTAGTTTCTTCAGAAAACCTGTTAATAGAAAGAATATAAGGAAGCGGACTATTGAGAATGAAGATAATGAGGAGGAGGACTCAAACAAAGAAACTTCTCTATTGCATATTCAGAAAAAGACTTTAAAGCCTGACAATAAATTGTACTTTTCCACTGGCTCTTCAAAAGCCTCTGCATCTGTTGTACCAAGTGAAGAATCTGGAAAACCAGTCTTTCAGTTCGAGTCTTCAAAAAATATTCAAGTTCAACATGATAATAAAGCAACAGCAACTCTAGAGACCGAGACTGAGTTTTCAAAAGATGCTCGTGCCATCCGTGAAAGAGCACTTAAGCAAGCAGCAGAGAGTCTTAAAGGGACAAGCACAAGTTCTAAGGATGAAAAATTATATAAGGGAATTAACAATTACAATGACTACAAGGCTGGGTTTCGTAGGGAGCAAACAATTGCTAGTGAAAAAGCTGGTGGATCTCATGGTCCTCTTAGGGCTTCAGCTCATATAAGAGTTTCAGCAAGGTTTGATTATCAACCTGACATATGTAAGGATTATAAGGAAACGGGATACTGTGGATATGGTGATTCATGTAAGTTTATGCATGATCGAGGGGATTACAAGTCAGGGTGGCAGTTGGACAAGGAATGGGAAGAAGCTGAGAAAGCAAGGAAGATGAGATTGGCTGCAGGTGATGATGCAGATGAGGAGGGGGGCGCTAATTTGACTGATGAAGATGATGAAGATTCGTTACCCTTTGCATGTTTCATTTGTAGAAACCCTTTTGTGGATCCTGTTGTAACCAAGTGCAAGCACTACTTCTGCGAGCATTGTGCATTGAAGGTATAGACTTACAGTTGTTGCTTATAAGTTTTAATTAGTAATAGTTTGGAGTTATTTAGTGTTGAGCATATGGTTCAATATTTATAATTAAGATTTTATTTTACACATTTTGGATTGATTATATTAGGTTGCAGTTGTTATATTACGGATTAGTCGCTCTGGTTTGTTAAATGATTCAGCTCTGAAAGAATTGATAGATTTAGCATTCCTGTTATTTATGTATACTATGGGATACACTTTTGATCTTTTGTTCTGGGAATAGGCTGAGGATGTGTTCCTTTAGCTTGTGACATTGTTACTGTAGCAACATTAATTTCTTTCTATTTATTTATTTCTAATTTTCTGTTTGTTTTATTTGCAGCATCATGCAAAGAATAAGAAGTGTTTTGTCTGCAACCAGCCAACACTTGGCATTTTTAATGTTGCTCATGAGATACGCAGGAAGATGGCTGAGGATAAAATTAAATGATTTTTGTGGATCCACCATGGTTCTCTTTGCTTTGAGGAAGTTATCCTTTCACCCATTTTAACTGTGTTAAAGATTGATGCTATATGATGAGTTGAAACAGAGGTTTACACAGTGGAACTAGGTGTCATTCATTTTGTTGTATTTCTTTGGCATGTAGATCCCAGAATATCTGTTGGTGAGGGACATTCACCCATTTGTATATAGCACCCCAGTTGTGCAATCTGTGGAACTTTTTTTTTTTTTTTTGCAGTAATTTGTATTAACTTTAAATAGAGCGACATTTATTTTCAAAATTCTTGTTTTTGAACTATATTGTCTTCATTGTTGTCAAATATTATATGTGATCCTGTTAGCTAATATGTTGCATCACCTGGTGGAGAGGTTAAATGCAAGACTTGTTTCTCAATCGGAGGAACAAGAAAGGCACTAGATTGCTTCGTGGAATTTAAATTACATAGATTCATTCTCATTTGAGTCACACTTGATTTGTTTAACGGCCTTTGGTTTGGATATTTGCTATACTATTTTTCAATTCAGGAGGATTTTGTTTCAAGGTTTCATAATGCATTTTTTGGAATCACATTTTCATAAATATTTAATCTGAAATGTTATTTATAAACATACTTAAAAAATATGTTTGGTTATACTTTAATATTCTTAGAAATGATTTTTAAAATTTAAAATAATTTTAAAAAAATATAATAAAAAAAAGAAAGTTAAACCTTTCTTATGAGAATATCACCTTAAAATGAGTATTAAACTTCAATGGAGCATGGCGATATCATTGTGAAGATAAGATACAGAATGGTTCCCACTTGAGGCAATTGGCCATGCAGAGATAGTGCCATTATGGCACGCAAGAAGTGATAAATATGTTACTTGGCTTTCATTTTTATTAAGGCTTGTTGGTCTTTCTTTGTCATTACTCTTTTATGAAGGCTTCTTGTTCTTTCTTTGTCTTGAGCAATGACTATGACTCGGTGGGATCTGCATATAATGTGTAATGAATTTCCCCCATCATTCTAGATGGATATTTATATTCCTCTGTACGATGAAAACTGTGTAAAGGGTATTACTTTAATGCCTTTGTTTAATTTTAAAACCAGCTTTTTAATCATTTTTGGGGTTCATAATCGATTTTAAAATCGGGTTAGCTTCAAAGCTGATTTCAGAAACGATTTTATAAGTTGTTCATATTCAATATTAACTAGTATTTTAACATATTTATTATATATAACTAAAATTTATAATAAATTATATATATATATATATATATTTAAATACTATATTTAAATATATAAATTATATTTTAAATTTATGATAAATGATTTATATTATAACATAATATTATTTTTTTATTTTAAAATATTAAAATTTAATCTATATATAATTTTAATAAATAAAAATAAAATTAGATAAAAAGTTAAAAAAGATTTAAAAATTCCATAATCAAATAAAAAAATCTTAAAAACACTGATAAAGTTACGTTTAATATATAAGATTTTGATATCGAATTGTCTTTTAAAACTAGTTTTGAATCCAACGGTTCACATAAACTCCAAACTAATTTTATAGAAAAATGTACTTTAATTTTAAAAAATATAACCATTTTAATGGTATGATTTAATTTTCCAAAAATTTAAACCATGTTCGTACCAAATTATTAGTGAGATTTTACATTTTTTTTTTATGATAGTGAGATTTTACATTGCTAATTTGCTATAACGGGCTGAAATTCCAAAAGGTAGATTGGATGATTTTCTTTTTATATACTTATTAGCATATTTGGCGTGGGGGATATACGGGATTTGAAAAAGATTTTAGGGGTTACATATATTTTTACTTCCTTAAATTTGAAATATATATATATATATATATATATATATATAT